AGGCTTCAGGTGTTACAGTGACATCAACATCATTAGTGACACCGGTCAGTAACATATGAGAGGAGTCTGGACAAGTCACCGGAGAGATCACAAAAGCTGCCCTGTGGTTTTTTCACAGCATAGGTTCTGAACTTTATTTGAAACACTCCAGCAGTCTGAAATAACATTGTACCACCTAGCCTCAATAATTTGGGGCTCCTAGACCGAAGCGCGTTTTTCCTCAAGTATAAAAATGTTCTATCTTCACTATTTAAATGCCGTTGATTAAAGGTCATGAAAACAATGCTGTCTTTGAGTTTTATTTTAAGTTGGGAAAGATGGCTTTACTCTGTACCTCTCTCTGTAGGCTGAGGCAGGAGGATCACAAGTTGTGGTCTACACAAGGCACTGTAACAAGATCCTGTTTCAAAACTCCCCTCCTCTGGTTTTTGATGCATGATTGTGAAAGGGTGCTGACCTTGAGATCACCCAGTCATGCCCGTGTGTTGAGAAAACAGATCCAGTGTTTGTTGTCATTCAGGCAGGCATTGGACGTCCAGTCCTACCCGGCATGTATGTGGTAGGCTGGTGGGCTTCCGGAAGCCCTGTCTTCTTAACCCGATTTCTTTGGTGTCTCTCACTTCACCTCTAGTTTTATTGTAGACAAACCACATTGTTCCTTACAGGGAAAAATCCAGAGGAACACTTTGTTTTCATTTGGAGGCAGGGCTACCTTTCATTATCTAGGATGAACTAGCACTCATGGGAATCCTGCTGCAGCCTCTTCAGTGTTGGCATTGCAGGCACCAGGCACCCCACTCAGCCAAAACAAAACCCTGTAACCCCCAACACATGAGGTGCTCTTGTTTCACCTCCAGCAACCCTTCTGCAGAGATGACAAGCCACCAGGATCACCGGTTTCCGCATTATGAAAAGGAGACAGGTTCAGATGTCAGACTTCCGTAATACCGTTTTCTGGCACTTTTAAGGGCACATTATGGGAGGAGAGAAGAGACTCAAGACTTGCATCTGAAAGCAGCCCACTTACAGAGGAAGACTGGAAGCCTTTCCTCAGCTGGGCTTCATGTCACAAGACACACAGGGCTGTCTCCAGGACGGGTGCGATGAAAAGGTCCTATGAAGGGCTATGCACTCGGGATCTGTGTTTGGGTCCCCTCTTCTCAGCTCACCAAGCCACCCCCTCTCTCAGGAACTCTTCTCCACCAAGCCACATGGTCTCTGTTTCTAACCACATGTCCCTGGTGCAGTCATTAGTCCTCTACCAAGCCACATGGTCTCTGTTTTTAACCATATGTCCCCGGTGTGGTGCAGACATTAGTCCTAGAACACAAGACCCCAGTGCCTTCTAATCAGACCACAGCCTGCCAAGAAGCGTGTTTTTCATTTCCTTCTCTTTGCTTCTTTGTTTGGAGAGTGGCCAAGGTAATGCTGTCTCTCACGCCCTGGGCTTTCTCCCTCTCTCTGAATCCCCACGCCTCTTCCGTCTACAGCCGTGTTCCAGATCTCCATTGCTGAACACACCAGTTATCTTGAACTGCAACTCAAACAGCCCTGGCTTTCTCTTTCGGTCTCATAGCAGCTACCAATATTTACAGCTTGTGCATCCTGTTGGGTCTTTTCTCTCTGTCTCAGTCACTGTCTCTGTCTCTCTCCATCTCTCTCTCTCTCTCTCTCTCTCTCTCTCTCTCTCTGACTGTGATATTGTTGTGCCCAAATTATGAACCCCCAAATCACCAAGAGGCCCATCTCCATACAAAAGCAAAGAGTATTTAATTGCAGTTGTTTAATGAGCTAACCCCATTAGCTTTGGCCCTTCATCCATCCACCATGGCAGATGGTTGGAGAAAGACCCTGAGAAACCACAAGACAGGGATCTTATAGAGCAGTGTAAGGGGAGTGTCGAGGGGTACACATAGTCTCAGGATTGGTGCACTTCCAGGCTTGGACGCCCTGTCCTGTGTTGATTGGTCAACTGGTTGTTATGGCCCATAGTCCCTCCCGGGGGGGGGGGGTTGCTATGCTCTGCACGTCACTGTTGTGCACTTGTCATAAAGCACACCCCAGAGCCATAAAGCACAGCCCCGCCAGCTACCTTCTGATTGGTTCCTTGTCACAAGGAGGGCATCTGACCTCCTAGTGACCAGAGCAGGCCCAGCAAGGTCAGGTGAGCGCATGTTAGTCTGTCATGGCTGCCAAAATGGGAGGCTGGTCCCTTCAATATAATTGTCCTTGAGTTTATTTCTGAGTCCATTCTTAAAGAGATTATCAACCTTAGAGGGAACCCGAGATCCTCCAGTAACCAGAGGAAGACAGAACCCTGAATTCAAAATCACCAATTACATGACTTTATACTGGAGCAATGGTCTGCCAGGTGATGTCCACCCTAGCCAACATAGCTGCCATGAATGCTGGAGTGCAGCCAAGCGTCTGCTGCAAACGTGGTCAGTCTCTACAGACTTCTTGGGAATGGCATCGATGCCGCTGACAATGTTGACAGTCATAATTCAGAGGGAATTCCTTCTATCTTCAATAATTCCTTTTGTCTTTCCTTGTGTACTTCTTACTTTTGCTGCTTCTGGCTGGCTTCTGACCCTGGGAGCGGTTCCTCTCTCCCTTGTTTGCTCCTCCTTATCTCTTGCCTAGATTACCCCTCCTGCTTATTCTCTTTGCTTGCCTGCCCTGACTATCACCTCTTGTGCCTAGCTATTGACCATTCAGCTCTCTTTCAGACTATCAGACCAATCAGGTGCCTTAGGCAGGCATTGTGAAACAGATGCAACACATCTATCCGTAATTAAACATCCTTACATGGGCACGCAAATGTGGCATAAACAAATGTAACACGCCTTTACACAGTTAAAGTAATATTCCGCAGCATAAACAAAAGTAACACATCTTTACATAGTTAAAATAATATCCCACAACACTTACCTCATCTAGACTCCGAAATACTAATACTGTTTATTACCTGCTCTCCACATCACAGGCTACATCCTGCTCCAAGCACTGTGGCACCCCAGGACATGTGCTTGTGCTCCTCTGACTCTTTGGACATTATTCTCTAGATATGTAAGAGTTGTTCCTCAGTTTATTTGGAGCTCAGAAAATTCTCTCCTACTCTCCGTGTATAGTTCTAATCTTTCTATACGCCCTCTTACTATGTCCTCTAGTACATTTCTCTCCATATCATGTTTTTTTTCTGGGTGACGTATCAGATCCTATTAATTGGTTGATTAACACCATGCCTGCATGTAAGTCCCAGAAAATGGGGGGAGGGTTGTTTGTTATAGTTTTTCATTAATTACTAATGCCTAAAATAGTGCCTGGCATGTGCTAGGAACTGAAATCGTTGAATCAATACATAGGTGAATGATCTGCAATCAGAATTTTCCCACAATGTCTTCTGAATCCGAGACAAGGTTTTAATCTATTTAGTGATGAGCTCTCTGTGTGTCTGAGAGCAGTTTTGAGGATCAATTCTACCATTTATACTCAGTTGGCCTCAAGAGTTGACCTTGACAGTACGTTAGGTTTTGAGCTTTAATCTCTCTCCTTCAGTAGAATCCCAACCTGTTACAGCTTAGAATCCACCGTCTCCCAAAGGCCAGTGCTGGAAGACTTGGTCCCTGTCAGTGAGTCACCTGGAAGTAATGGAACCTTAATTGAGCAGGCCTGTAGGAAGGGGTAGGTCACTGTCAGGTGCCTTTGAAGTTGATGTTGCTGTTCAATCCCTCCCTCAGTTTGGACTCCACATGGGCAACTTTCTCTGCCATGTGTTCACATCCATGTTCTATGCCAATACAGCCACAAAACAACCAAGGGATTGAAAACTCTGGAACTATAAACCAAATTACAGCTTTCATTCTTTAAAGATTATCTCAGGGAGTGACAGGAAGCTGAAAATCAGGTGCCTGCTTCTTGCTCCTCAGTATTCTTTACCATTTCCAGGCTACTGAGTGCCCTTTTCAAAATATCTTTTGGACAAATTTCAGGGAACTCTGAGAAAAAGACAGAGACCTCTATTTCCCTTCTACCATTTTCAATGGAAGCCTCCTCTATAATTCTTAGTGATCGGTTGATTCGGGTTTGCTTAGTGGGCTCTTTAAAGCAACATTGTTCAAGGGTTCTTGGGTAGACTCCATTTCCATCATAATTAATGTTTCCCTTCTTTCCTTCACTTTTAGGGTGAAACAAAGTCTATGATTGATGATTGGATGGATACATAGGTAGGCAGATAGATGACAGATAGATGAGTGATAGATAGATGATAGATATATAGGTGATAGATAGGTAGATAGACAGATGATAGATAGATAGATAGACAGACAGACAGACAGACAGACAGACAGACAGACAGACAGACAGATAGATAGATAGATAGATGATAAAAGAGACAGACAAGGGGAACAAAACAATAAAGGGTAACATTTGTTTTGTTCTGAGGCATGTGTTGGCAGCTGCGTCCAGGCTCTGGGTGAACACAGTCTTCAGCTATGGAACAGGTGTCAGGATTTTAATTTAGCTAATTGAGTGTGTTTTCCACCCAATTGTCTTCTCTTTTCATCTTAAACATTGAAAAGATAACAGGAACACTTGAAAAGAACCCAGACTAGATTACAAAGGGGAAACATGGTGTCGTTTTATAATCATTTACTTTCTATTTCCTTCTGATTACCTAGTTGCCGTTTCATACTCTTTGAAAGTTGGATTAACTGTGTCCTCTGAACTCTGGGATTTCTTCCAGGTGAGCTTCCTAATTAACCTTCAATCTTCCACAGAACATCATAATTTAAAACTGAACTGACCAATTCAGGGAGATTCTTGGTATCAAGAGTTTGGGTGGGTTCTGCAATTGTTCTCAGCTGACAAGTAACATCACAGCCAGTTAAACCTGAGAATTAGTTGCATGAATTTTTCTAACTTTCAAAAATAGCTGGGGAAAATATGATCCAAATAGAAAGCCTGCATCTTGCCAAATAGTATTTGGAGTAATTCAGTACCTCTTTTGGTGACTCAGGGTCAGAACTGAGCGACCTCGCCTGGAAGTACATCCATCTGGCAGAACTGCAGCACAAAGAAAGGCAATCATTCTCATGGACAGTAAGGTGTTTTTCTTGAATCACTATAGATGCAAACGAATGCTACATTTAGAATTAAAATGACACCATTTTGGGTTAAGATCAAATAGATTAGATGCCAAAACTCCTTTGTTGCTTTAAGCGATGGCCTGGTACTGCATCCCACGGAAGAGCCACCATACTGTAGGTCCATTCCACATTCTCTCTCCTTCATCGGTGTGAATTCTTGTTAATTCTTTTCCTGCATGAACATATTACTGCTAATGAGGACATTACCATTTTTTCCCTTTTTTATCCACAGGCTGTTAAAATCAACTGAGTTAGGAAAAAGACACTCTAATTGGCAAGCACCCTTCTCTGCAGGCAGGTTGAGGGGACTGCCAGGCTTATAGCTACATTTTAAGAGGAAGTTACCAAAAGAATCTTGAGGTGCTAATTATGCAGTCATATAATTTACATAGATTTATGTCTCATTAACATATAAGACTCCAGTTTTTTTTTTTTAATTGATTTAGTCAAAATCCGTGAGGGTAATTACTGGAATATTTGAGGAATTTTTCCCCCTGTGAGTCAGCCAAGCATATCCTTACTATCTTTCTTTTTTCTTTTTTAAAAAAGTAATGTGTTTTAATGAAGTGTATCTCAAATAAATGTGTTATTAGGTACAATGCCCAGCTACATGGAGTAAGTCTTGAGGAGTAAGAATTATGGGAAATCAGTCACAGGAGTGGGTGGGGAAATCTTTAGAAAGCACAGAGGCCAGCACAGTGCCTACCAACCCTGACATTTGTGCTTTGCTCTGTTATTCTGGCAGGGAGGGGATCCGGGCCTAGGTGTTCTTTTAAAGCACCCAGCATTGTTCTGGTGAGGACTCAAGGTGGCTCTGAAATGGATTGCCTACAGTAATGACATGATGCTTTAACAACCAGAGACCACAAGATAGTAGCTGTAATTACACACATTTCAGCACAGGCAATATAGTAAGTGTTTTTTAAAAATTAATGAGCCCCTTGAAAAACTCCAGTTATAACTAGAACCGAGGCCAGACTGCTAATTGTTCTTCTTTCTTCAGGTAGCATCCAAAGGCAACCAGTCCTCCCAGCTACTTTAAGCATTTTTTTTTTTAGCTTTTGTTATTTTTGTTATATGTATGAATGTTTTGCCTACACGAACATATGTACACCACAGGCATGCAGGCATGCTAGCAAAAATCAGAAGAGGGCACCAGACCCCCCAGAACTGGAGTTACATGCACATTGGCAATGAACTGGTCCTTTGCAAGAACAAAAACAGCTCTTAACCACCAAGCCATCTATCCAGCTTCAGGCCACATTTTTAAAAATGGCTTTTATGTCTACTGTGTAAAATCAAAGCAAATTTCCCTGTGCTCTTGCTGGCTTAGGTGCAGCACCATCTTTATGAGCAGCAGGGAAGCCAGTCCCGCCCTTCAGAATCCACTCCTGGAGCACCGGCTGTGAGGAACTTTCTCCCCTGGCTTCTTCCCACTCCCCTCCGCCCTGTTGAGCTGGCTCCAAAGTGCTCTAAGGTGCACAGGTGTCAGTCATAATCACACCGCCAATTTTCAGTAGTGATCTTTCTCCTCTTGTTTCCTGATAAACTCCCTCACATCACATCCAGGGTTTTACCTGGCTTAGTCCTACGCGAGCTGGGAATTCTGAGTACACTTCAGTTGCCTGTAGCTCTGAACACCAAATTTTGTCTGTTTTCAGTTGGAATAAGTAATACAGACATAAGTAGACACAAGAAAGAAAGGGACAGCAAGAATTTACATTTGAACTTTTATGAAACATTTGTGTTCAAGTCAATACAACCTTGCTCCTTTATTGACTTCATATACACGTTTTTTCAAAAGCCACTCATGGGATCTAATTAATGAGTATAATGAATTAATCTTAAAATTAAAAAATACAAATACATGAGCTAGGGGGATGGCTTAGTAGTTAAAAGACCCCTGCTCCTCTTGCTGAGGCTCTGGGTTCAGTTCCCACCACACACACACACACACACACACACACACACACATTAAATTAAATTAAAAAAGAATTATTAAAAAATACAAACACAGCCGGGTGTTGGTGCACACCTTTAATCCCAGCACTCAGGAGGAAGCGGCAGGTGGATCTCTGTGAGTTCGAGGCCAGCCTGGTCTCCAGAGCAAGTGCCAGGATAGGCTCCAAAGCTACACCGACAAACCCTGTCTCAAAAAAACCCAAAAAAAAAAAAAAAATGCAAACACAAATCATGGAGCTATTTAAGCTCCTTCAACAAGGTGGCATTGCTAGCACCTTCCACAGAAGAAAATATGTCACCTTCTCCTTCAGAAAATGTGGGAGTGGAAACCATGATCAGAATATATAGTATAAAAACATAATTTTCAACTAAAAAAAGAAAGACAACCAAAATGCTAGAACCAGCATGTTATCCTGGCTATGCTGTTAATACTTTTAGTATTTTGACAAAATGGCTTGACACAAAACACGTTTCTGCCATTCTTTAAGAAATTATTAGCCAGGAGGGGACATGGTGGGTATGCCCGTCATCCCAGGATTTGGAAGCAGAGTCAGGAGGATGGGGAACTCAAGTCCAGCTGGGGCTACACAGCAAGACTATGTCTTAGAAAGAACAAAGACAAATATTTCTGTTATCTCCCAGAGTTTATCACGCTAACACTTTAAGTTTCTTGTACGTTTGAAAGGCAGAGGATCAAAGCCAGGGCCTTAGCCATGCTGGGCAAGCACTTGCTACTGAGATCAATATTCTTCTAATGGTCTTCGGTTTGACCTTAAAGTAATCCCTAGAAGTTACCTTTAGTGTCAGGGAAGAGTGCACTGCCCAGCTCCATCCTCCCTCTGTAAGCCAGCCAGGGAGCTGCAGTGGCTAAGGTGCCCAGCACGGTTTATCTTGCCAACGCCTGACTGCTTTTCCAAGGGATCACTTGGCCAGCACATTTTGCATCTGCAAATGGACAAATTATGAATATAAATTGGAAATTTATGCTGTGCAAAATTAACTCTACAAGTGGAAACTACATCTCCATTTGAATGTGCCTCTCTACTCTGAGAGATAGAAAATTATTGAGTCGATCTGAAATGAACATAAAGCCTATCTTCGTTCATTTTCACATAGGTGACATCAATGCACCAGGGACCTTCCAGGTTCCAGACAGCAGCAACCTAATCAACTTCTTCCATTTTCTGCAGCGTTTCCTGGCATATGTCCCATGTAATTTTATAAATTCCTACACAGGAGTCAAAAGATGGAGAGTAAAAGTGGGTTTTGATGGTGTGAGCTTGAAAAACATTGTTTCAGAGTTTTCAAATACAGTGTGCCTGTGTGTGTCTCTAATTCATCATCAGGAAATTCAAATGTGTTTGATATTACAGGACTTGGTGTGGTGTCAAGTTCAGGGAGCTCCTCATTTGACTCAAACACGGCACTGTCAAGCTAGTGTTCATGGTCTTCTCTGTATCAGAGCAGGATTTGCAATCTATGTGACAAGGGTGTGTGCTCCCTCAGGGATCCGTTCTTCAACCAAGTTCCCAAGAAGATAAACAAAGATGGTTAAGTGTGGAAAGTAGGCTGTCGTTTCCCCAGGTTTTTGTCTAGAGATACAAGCCCCACTTAGATGCAACCCCCTGGACATAAGCAGGTGCTGTTGAGAAGGCAGATCCCCTGTGGTCTAGACTGCCTCCTGGGCTTAAGATCAGCTCATTTGCATTCTTTGCCACCTGGGCCTCCTAAGGCACATGCTTAAAGGAATCAGCCGTGATCATGCACATAGCCCCTTGGTTGAGGTCTGGTAAGAAATAAATCGTCAGGAGCCCTTGACTAATTTCTAATTATATCAGCTAAAGGATTCATCTGGCCTGTTGACTCCTCTCATCCATTCCACATGCATTAGTTAAGGATGCCCTAATGAGAAACAGGTCAAGAGGCTTAAACAACAGACATACTTTCCAAAGTTAGAGAGGCCAGGAGTCCACAATTCAGGTATTGGTACAGTAGGCTTCATCTGAGACCCCATCCCTACCTTGTATGCGTCCTCCTCCTCATATGCCTGTATGGCCTAGCTACTGTACACTCATCTCTGGTCTCATCTTGTGTCCTAACGGCTTCTTTCGAAGACATCTGTCAGTTAGGGCGAGGCCAGTACCTATCAGGTATTCTTGTAACCAATCACCTTCTTAAAGACTTTGGGACCAAATATAGCCACCTGCTGAGATATTAGGGTTCAGTGGACACATTCAGGCCCTGACACACACTGCCAAACTCAGAAGTTACCCACAATGCTTCAGTTTCTGATGAAGGCTCCCCACCCCACAGTGGTCCTGCCCTGCTCACAACGAGGACATCTGGGGTAAGTGGGTAACAGTTCAGGGCATTTGGGGTAAGTGGGTAACAGTTTCAGAAGCCATCCTGGTGCGCTTTTGGAAAACCAGCTTCAGCCAAAGCTCCATGCCTCCACCAAAGTGAGTCCTGGTGACTCTAGGCATAGTCACCACCACAGCTAAAGCTAGAACGTCCCCATCTCACTCATGTCCCTTCTCCCAGGCCCCCACCACCTCTGGCCAGTTGAAACAACTATCTATACTCTCCCATCTTTGTCATTGTTTCTTTGCCTTTTCCACACTGCCATAGACATGGTGGACTTGTATGATGTGTACTGGTTTTTGTCTGGGCTTTCTTGTTCTTTGTTTTCGTTTTGATGTTTGTTTGGAGTTTTGTTTGTTTTGCTGTAGTAGTATGGTTTTAGCTTTTGAGATTCAGCAACTCTGTTGCAGATGGCAGCAATGAAATCTTCCTTAGTGCTGAGGAATATTACTTTGCACGGCTAGACTACAGTTCGTTGATTAATCACTGTTGCATGGATACTCTACAATTCACTCATACAGCCACCTGTCGATTCCAACGTGGCACTGTTATGGACCCTGGTGTTCAAGGCTTTGTGTGAACATGCATTCAGTTTTTAAAATTGCATTCATTTATTTATTAGTATGGTGTCTCTGTGTGAGAGTGTGTGTGCCTGTACGTGTATAGGCATGTGTGCACACATGCTATAGCATGTCTTTGGAGATCAGAGGACAGCTGGAGGAAATCTGTTTCCTCCTTCCACAGTGTGGGTTCCAGGAATAAATTCAGGTCCTCAGCAAGCACATTTATTTGCCCACTTTTCCATCACACCAGCCCTGTGCTTCTCTTTGTTTTCAGTGCACCTTTAGATGCAGAGTTATGAGGTCCTGGAAGCACAAATGGGAATCACGTTTTTATCTCTTACTAGTGTGTGTGAATTGTGTGAATAGTGTGTGAGTTCCATGACAACATCTCTGCACAAACATGTACCGCGTGTTGATCCAACTCACTACTTCATTACTCTTCCTTAGGCCCCCCGCTACGCTTTTACAATCTTGACGACCCCCTGCTTGTGTCCATGCTCCAGCCTGGACACTACAGATGAGAGGAGACATGAGAGCCTGTGATGCCTCCTCCATTGCCACTGCCTTCCTGTCAATTACGGGATCTCATTCTTTCTCACCATTATGTAACATTCCACTGTGTGCGTATGTGTGTGTTTATGTGTGAATGTACGTGTGTGAATGTGTGTGTGTGTATGTACGCGTGTGAGGTGTGTGAATGCGTGTGTACATGCATATGAGTACATGTGTGAGGTTTTGTGGACACGTTTTGCTCTAGGCTAATTACTTAGTTTCCCCTACACACACCTCACCACACAGATGCCTGACAGTAGCAGAGGAAGAGTTGTGTCACAAGCAGAGACGCTGAGATCGTCTACAAGATATGAGCTCAATGCAGACCCC